TCCTGGAGTGTGGATCAACCAGACCTGATGTTTACATATGGGGGTTCACACAACCTGGAACCGACGCCATCAAAGCTGTGGTCTACGACTTTGGAAAAGGTCCCACTCTTATTCATCTCTTTACAGTGCCTTGCAAAAGTTTTCATCCCCCTTGACGTTTTTCCTATTTTGTTGCATTATTACCTGTAATTTAAATTGATTTTTATTTGAATTTCATGTAATGGACATACACAAAATAGTCCAAATTGGTGAAGTGAAATGAAAATATAACTTGTTTCAAAGAATTCTAAAAAATAAATCACAGAAAAGTGGTGCGTGCATATGTATTCACCCCCTTTGCTATGAAGCCCCTAAATAAGATCTGGTGAAACCAATTACATTCAGAAGTCACATAATTAGTTAAATAAAGTCCACCTGTGTGCAATGTCAAATGATCTGTCACATGATCTCAGTATATATACACCTGTTCTGAAAGACCCCAGAGTCTGCAACACCACTAAGCAAGGGGCATCACCAAGCAAGCGGCACCATGAAGACCAAGGAGCTCTCCAAACAGGTCAGGGACAAAGTTCTGGAGAAGTACAGCTCAGGATTGGGTTATAAAAAAATATCCAAAACTTTGAACATCCCACGGAGCACCATTAAATCCATTATTAAAAAATGGAAAGAATATGGCACCACAACAAACCTGCCAAGAGAGGGCCGCCCACCAAAACTCACAGACCAGGCAAGGAGGGCATTAATCCGAGAGGCAACAAAGAGACCAAAGATAAAAAAAAATATTTTGCATCTTCAAAGTGGTAGGCATGTTGTGTAAATCAAATGATACAAACCCCCCCCCAAAACCCGTTTTAATTCAAGGTTGTAAGGCAACAAAATAGGAAAAATGCCAAGGGGGCTGAAAACTTTCGCTTTCCAGTTCTGTGGAGTGTACGGCTTAAAGTTGTCCTATGGACAGATACTCAATTCTCCACTGTGGAGCTTTGCAGCTCCTTCAGGGTTATCTTTTGTCCCTTTGTTGCCTCTCTGATTAATGCCCTCCTTGCCTGGTCCGTGAGTTTTGGTGGGCGGCCCTCTCTTGGCAGGTTTGTTGTGGTGCCATATTCTTTCCATTTTTTATAATGGATTTAATGGTGCTCCGTGAGATGTTCAAGGTTTCTGATATTTTTTTATAACCCCAACCCTGATCTGTACTTCTCAACAAACTTTGTCCCTGACCTGTTGGGAGAGCTCCTTGGTCTTCATGGTGCCGCTTGGTTGGTGGTGCCAATTGCTTAGTGGTGTTGCAGACTCTGGGGCCTTTCAGAACAGGTGTATATACACTGAGATCATGTGACAGATCATGTGACACTTAGATTGCACACAGGTGGACTTTATTTAACTAATTATGTGACTTCTGAAGGTAATTGGTTGCACCAGATCTTATTTAGGGGCTTCATAGCAAAGGGGGTGAATATATATGCTTGCACCACTTTTCCGTGATATATTTTTTTGAATTTTTTGAAACAAGTAATTTTTTTCATTCCACTTCACCAATTTGGACTATTTTGTGTAAGTCCATTACATGAAATCCAAATAAAAATCCATTTAAATTACAGGTTGTAATGCACAAAATAGGAAAAAACGCCAAGGGGATGAATACTTTTGCAAGGCACTGTAAAACAAATTCATAGTAAAAGCTCTGTATTAAATTCACACACAAACCCCTTGAAAAGGGTCGATATTAATTCACCTACAAAACTTTATAGTGAACCCGATATTTAAAATTTACACTACCAAACCCTTCATAGTAGAGCTTTTGGGTATTAAAATTTAACTACACCACTTCATAGTAAAAACTCTGATATTAAATTCAAACTACACCCTTAAAGTTTTTGCTCCCCATTTAAAATTCAAAACTACAAAAACTTCATACTTGATATTAAAATTAAAACTCCCCCAAAATTCATAGTTTCAGCCTTTTAATTAAAATTTACAACTAAAAACCACTTTATAGTAGAACTCTGAATTAATTTAAATTCACCTACCCCACTTCATACTCGTTTTAAATTTACACCACACCACTTTTATACAGCTCCGATTTTTAAATTCACACTAACCCAAATTCAAGTTGGGTATTTAAAATTTACCCACACCAAATTTATAGCTTTTTGATTTAAAATTCACACTACACCACTTAAGTTCGCCCCGATATTAAAATTTACAATAACCCCCCCCATTCATTTGTTTCGCTCTGGTATTAAATTCACCCCTACACCAAATTTTAAAAGCCCCTGATTTTTAAATTTCCCCCTACACCAATTCATAGTACTGTATAAATTCACACTACACATCATTTATTTATATTAAATTCACTAACACCACTCATTGATCATAAATTCACACACACCACTTATACCTTTAAATTAACCACTTCAACCTATATTAAATTCACAACACCATCAGCATATAAATTCACACTACACCACTTCATAGCTCTTAATTAAATCACATCAACCACTTTAGTCTGATATTAAATTCACACTCACCACTCATAGTACAATCTAAATTCACACACACCAATCATTAAGCTCGATATTAAAATTTACACTACACCACTTTCAGCTCTGATATTAAATTACAACACCACTTCAAGTCGTATATTATATCAAACACCACTTCATAGCTAGTATTAAATTAACACACCACTTCTAGCTCTGAATAATTCAACTACCACTCTAACACTTACTTATAATTCACACTACACCACTTCATATTATAAATCCTACACCACTTAAGCTCTGATATTAAATTCACTAATCACTATATCACTCTGATATTAATCACCACACCACTTCATAGCTCATTATTAATTCACCTACACCACTTCATTAGTATTAAATTCACACTACCAACTCATTAACATAATTAATACCCACCCACTTAAGCTCGTTAAATTAACAACACCTATGCTCTGATATTAAATTCACACTATATTCATTAAATACATTACCACTATCTAATAAATTCAACTACACCATTAATTCACTTACATTCAAATACAACCACTTATAGTTAATTAACATTCCAAACACCTATATTCATATACAACTACAACTTCACTCTATATTAAATTAATCACATACCACTTCATACTCTATAAATTCACACTCAATTCAAGCTTATATTAAATTCACACCACTTCATAGCTCGATTTAAATTCACCACACCACTTCATCAGCTCTGATATTAAATTCACATACCCACTTCATAGTATTGATATTAAATTCACACACCACTCATAGTTCACTTATATTAAATTACACAACCACAACTCTGATATTAAATTCACACTACACCATCTATCTAGCTTGATATTAAATTCACACACACACCTTCAGTTATAGCTAAATTAAACACAAACACCACTTCATAGCTCTGATATTAAATTCCACAATACACACTTCTATCTGATATTAATACACACTTCCCAAGCTCTGATATTAATCATGACACATCAGAACTTGATATTAAATACATACACATACAATATCAATAACATTCAACCACTTCATAGCTTAATTAAATTCACACTAACCACTTCAATTCAGATATGAAATTAAATACCAAACCACTTCATATCTGATATTAAATTCACACTACACACTTCATAGTGATATTAAATTCACACTACACCACTCTGTCTTAAATTAAACTCACACACTCATATCTATTAAATAACTTACACCATTCATAGCCTGATTATAATTCAACCAACTATATAGTCGACATTTAACAATCACATACACCACTCATGTAATTAATTACCACAACACTTCATAGCTCTGATATAAATTCACACTACACACTTATACATAGAATCCATAAATTCACACTACACACTATATCATATTAATCACACTAATATTTCAGCTCGAATTAAATTCACACTAAACCACTCATAATTGATTTAAATTCACAACCACACTCTTAATAAACCATAACACCACTATATCAGCTCTGTTTAAATTCACACACCACTTCTAAAGCTCTGATATTAAATTCACACTACACCACTTATCTATTAAATTCACACTACACCTATACACTCGATTAAATTCACACACACTAACATTCAACACTTCGTATTAAATTCACACTACACCACTTCAACTCGATTAAATTCACACCACCACTTCATAGCTCTGATATTAAATTCACACTAACCACTTCATAGCTTGATATTAAATCAAACACCACTTCATTATTGATAAATACACTACACCCACTTCATATCTATAAACATCATTACTAATACATACACCACTTATATTCATATTAAATTCACATACAACCACTTCATAGACTATATTAAATTACCACCCACTTCAACCTTGATTTAAATTCAAACACTTCATCACTCATAATTCAATACCACCATCATCTATTAATTCAACACTACACACTTCATACTATATAAATCAAACCACCATTCTAGTCACTTGATATAATTCACACTACACCCTTATTAAATTACATACACCTCATACACTATATAACTTCACCACTAATCCTCGCTTTATTAAATCACAATACACCTTCATAGTCAGTCATTAAATTCACACTACACCAATCACTTCTGATATAATTAAATTAACACTACACCACTAATTCAAGACTCTGATATAAATTCACACTACAACCACTTCATATTAGCTCTGATATTAAATTACACACTAACCACTTCATAGTTGATATTAAATTCACACTACCACCACTTCATAGTTCAGTTGATTAAATTCACACACACCATATAGCTCTGATATTAAATTCCAACACCACTTCATAGTTCAGCTCTGATATTAATTACACACTACACCACTCATTACTCTGAATAAATTCACCCTACACCACTCAAATTAATAACTCCACTCCCATACAGCTTCTGATTTAAATTACACCACTCCACTTCAATATAAACACTCACACTTATATTAATCAAATTCAACCACCTTATATTCAATTCAACTAACCACTCAAAACACTTAAATTCAACTTACACCCACTTCAAACCCTATATTAAATTCAATCACTCACCATATATTCGCTCTTAAATTAAACTACACCACTTCATAGCTCTGATATAAATACACTAACCACTTAAGCTGAATTAAATTCACATACACCACTTCAACCTGATATTAAATTACACTACACCACTTATAGCTCTGATATTAAATTCACACCACCACTTATTAGCTTGAATTAATCCCAATACACCATTCATGAAGCTCTGATATTAATTCACACTACACAAATTCATTAGACTTAAATTAAATACACAACACTTTAAACTCTGATATTAATTCACACCAACCAATTCATAGCTCGTAATTAAATTCACACTACACCATTATAGCCTTATATTAAATTACACTACCCCCACTTCATAGCTCTGATATTAATTCAAACTACACCAACTATAGTTAACTGATATTAAATTTACACACACCACTTATATAGCTTGTAATTAAATCACACCACCACTTCATAGATCTGATATAAATCACATACACCCCTTAATTTTTCTCTGATATTAAATTCACACTAAACCAAATTATAGCCCGATATTAAAATTTACATACACCACTTCATAGTCTTTTTAAATTTACATACACCATTATAGTAGGATTTAAATTCACACACACCACTTCATAGCTCTGATATTAAATTCAACAAACACTCATAGTTCAGCTGATATTAAATTCACATACAACCAAATTTATTGATATTAAATTTAAACCTACACCACTTCATAGCCGAATTAAATTCACACTACACCCCTTCATAGTAGCTCTGATATTAAATTCACCACAAACCCCTACTAGCTTGATATTTAAATTACATTTCACCATATAGTTCAGCTCTGTATTAAATTTAAACACACCACCACTTATATTAATAAACCATTCATACCAAATAAATACACACCCTCATAGACTGATATTAAATTCACCACCCACTTCATGCTTGATAATTCAACACCACTCAATCTGATAATTCACCTACAATTATAGCTGAATTAAATTCACACTACCACTAACTTGAATTAAATTCAATCCACTTCATAGCTGATATTAAATCCCACACATTATAGCCTGATATTAATCAACACAAGCTTATAAAACACCAAACACTCAAGCCGTTAAATCACACACAACTTCATAGTAGCTGATATTAAATCACACTCACCACTTCAGCCTGATAATCACATACCATTCAGCTCTGAATAAATCACATAACCACTCATAGCTTGTATTAAATTCACATACACACTTCATACTCTGATAAATTAACTCACCACTTCATAGCTCAAAAATTCACATACACCATCATACCCTGAATAATCACATACACCACTATATTGAATTAAATTAACTAAACTTCTAGCACTGATATAAATTACACACACCACTTATAGCGATAAATCACATCCCATCATAGCTCTGATATTAATCACATACACCATTCATAGAGCCGATATAAATTCAACTACACACTTCAAGTACATTTAATTCAATACACTATGTTGATATAATTCACTAACCATTATAGTCATTGAATAATTCCACAACACTTATAGCTCTGATATAAATACTACACTTCATAGCTGTATATCACACTAACCACTTACCGATTAAATTACACCAAGCAAAATAACACACTTAGTATTAAATTACAACACAACTGATTAAATTCCAACACATATACAAACATAATCAGCTGTAAATTAACAAACCAAGCCTGAT